TTTTTACGTGAGGCATATTTCAGGCTTTACATGAAGTTATAGTGCCACCTGGTGGCTACTTATTGAAGTACAACCAGACGTTCAAAAGAAGAGGGCATGCTGGCTAATGCTTCTTGGTCAGTATTAACCATAGAATCTTAATGTATTAGGCAATCCATGAGTATTTTGAATTTATATGCCTTATATTGCTTAGAATTTACACTGTGCAAGACAGTGGCCTAGGTACTGGGGCTGAAACTAGACTGTACACTGATCCCTGGCCTCAAAAACTTATTAGAAGACACCATCCTGATCAGATACAGGAAACAACAATGAAAAACAGGTGGTGAGTGTAATTAGGTGTTCATTAGAACTAGCCATCTGCCTAACCAGAAGCTAAGTTAGTGCAAAGAAGTATAAGCGCATAAATGAATTGAGGGTGGAATGAGAGTGTAGAGGGGAGTAAGATTGACAGACAAACACTGGGGTCGAAAGGGCTGCACATCTCCAGTCAGAGGAGCTCCCACTTGCTCCTCTGCACCACACTTGCTGGGTGCATGGCCTCAGGCTAGTTCTTTGTCTCTCTGTGCCTTGGGTTCCTCATTTAGGAATAAGGAAATCGAGTCAGGGTTGACTTTTCTCGCACTCTGGCGGCTCAGGCATTAGGTTTAACCTGTGTTTTATGGGCTATGTAAACGCATTACACTGTGTAGATCAAAACAAATTATAGATAACATTGCAAAGGATGGGAATTCCAGAACACTTAATGGTGCTCATGAAGAACCTATACATAGACCAAAGAGACAATTGTTTGAACAGAACAAGGAGTTAACATGTGGTTTAGAATCCGTGAAGGTGTGTGTGTCAGAATTGTATCCTTTCATCATACTTATTCAGCCTGTATGCTGAGCACATAATCTGGGAAGGTGGACTATATGAAGAAGAACACACATCAGGATTGGAAGAATACTCATTAACAACCTGTGATGTGCAGATGATACAACCTTGCTTGCTGAAAGTGAAGATGACTTGAAGCACTTACTGATGAAGATTAAAGACTACAGTCTTCAGTATGGATTACACCTCAACATAAAGAAAACAAAAATCCTCACAACTGGACCAATAAGCAACACCATTATAAATGGAGAAAAGATTGACATAGGCAAAGAGTTCATTTTACTTGGATCCACAATCAACACCTGTGGAAGCAGCAATCAAGAAATCAGAAGTCGTATTGCATTGGCCATACCTGCAAAAGACCACATTAAAGTATTTAAAAGCAAAGATGGCAGTTTGAGGACTCAGGTGCACCTGACACAAGCCATAGTATTTTCAGTCACCTCGTCTGCACGTGAAAGTTGGACAATGAATAAGGAACACTGAAGAAGAACTGATGCCTTTGAATTGTGGTGTTGGCAGTGAACACTGAGTATACCATGGACTGCTCGAAGAAAGAACAAGTCTGCCTTGGAAGAAGTACAGCCAGAATGCTCCTTAGAAGCAAGAATGGCAAGACTTCATCTCACGGACTTTGGACAGGTTATGAGGAGGGACCAGTCCTTGGGAAAGGACATCATGCCTGGTAGAGGATCAGAGAAAAAGAGAAGGACCCTAGACGAGATGAACTGGCAGAGTGGCTGCAACAGTGGGCTCAGCTATGGCAAAGATTGTGAGATGGCACAGGACCAGGCGGGGTTGAATTCCGTCGTGTGGCGTCTCTGTGAACCGACTCAACAGCATCGAACAACAGCAGCAACGGTGGGGGTGAAAGAGTATCTCATTGTGGTTTTGATGTACATTATTTCCCTAACTACTAATGATACTGAGCATTTTTACACATGCTCACTGGCCATTTGTGTATCTTCTTTGGTGAACTGACCATTCAAGTCCTTTGCTCATTTGCCGATTGGGTTGCTTATCTTTGTCTTGTTGAGTTGTAGGAGATCATTATATATCCTGGGTTTGAAACCCTTGTCAGATACATGGTTCCCAAATATTTTCTCTCAGTCTATGCGTTGTCTCTTCATGTTGTTGGTAAAGTCCTTTGGTGCACAGAACTTTCAGTTTTAATGAAGTCCAGTTTATTTATTCTGTCTTTTCTTGCTGGTGCTACTTTTGTGTTATATCTAAGCCTCCATTGTTGAAAAGTAGGACCAAAGCATTACTCCAATGTTTTATTCTAAGAGTTTTATAGTTTCAGTTCTTATATTTAGGCCCTTGATCCAGTCTGAGTTAATTTTTAGACTTGTATGAGATAAGGGTCCTGCTTCCTTTTTTTGAGTCTGGAGATCCCATTGTCACAGCACCATTGGTTAAGGAGCTCTGGCGGTGCAGTCTCTAAGGCATTTGACTGCTAACCAGAAGACTGGCGGTTCAAACCCACAGCCATTCTGTGGAAGCAAGATGGGCAATCTGCTTCCATAAAGATTTACTGCTATTTATTGAAGAAACTTTTGCTTCCCCATGGAATGAGCTTAGCCCTCTTGTCTAAAGTCACTTGACATTAGATGTGTAAAAGGTAATTGATTTGTTGGAAAAGTTGCATTTGCTTATGGTTAAATACACACAAAACAGAATATAAAATTGCCCTATCTTGTCTTTCTGCATCTGAGACATGGTGTCATTTCTTATATATCTTTCTACAAATGTTCATTTATAAGCATTTATGTAGAGAAAATGTCTTTTTGTTTCTCTACAATTAGGACTTAAGACTTTTTTTTTCTTAGTGCCTTTTTTGCTTTCCCATTTAATAAGTAACTATGGGTAATAATAATATAAAAAGAGCTAGTATTTAATGTACCAGGCACAAGTGACCATATATTGGTGTCAAAAGACACTACTTCTGAACCATCTCTCTCCCTTCTTTTTCATCTTTCTCAGGGTCAACCAGGACTACTGGGACCACAGGGTCCAATTGGAGCCTTGGGACCCCCAGGACCCATCGGGATTCCAGGAGAGAAAGGGCTGCGAGGTGACAGTGGCCCTCCTGGAGCAGCTGGGCAGAAAGGAGACAAGGTGGGCCTCCTCTGGAGAGCAAGCTTTATGGCAGCCACTCACCGGCACTGTTACGCCAGCTTTTAATTTTTTCTTTCTTATTTTGAAATAATCCCAGGTAGTGTACATACTTGTACCTTTTATGAAATGAAGTCTAAGCTTCCCTTCAACAATCACCCTTTACTCCCTTTACTGAGGAGCATGCCCTTCCAGATCTTTCCTTCATACTTAAATGCACAAGGATATACCCAGTGAATTAACTCTGGTGGCGAAGTGCCTAAGGCACTTGACTGCTAAGCAGGAGGCTGGCGGTTCAAACCCACCAGCCACTCCTCGGAAGGAAGGTTGGGCAATCTACTTCCGTAATGACACTGTCTCGGAAACCCAAGGAGGGGTCACTATGAATTGGGTTCGACTTGATGGCAGTGAGTTTATATCTAGTGAGGAGTCATAGCATTGTTTGTTGTGGCTTTCTTAAAAACTTAAATGATATTATGTTTATGTATTATTCTGAACCTTAAAGATCATTCCATATCAATTTATAGATTGGACATATTCTTTTAAAAATACTGCATAACCTGCCATAATGCAGGTAAAATATAGTTTATTCTCCAATTAATGAGAATTCAAGGTTCTGCCTCAATTGTGTGCAGTGCAACTGTACATTCCCTGTGCTCACATATACAAGTGCTTGTTGCTCTAGGATAAATTCTGAGAAGTTGAATGTCTGGCTTACAGGGTGTTGAAAGTGTGTTTCATTTCAGTTATTTTTTTAACTGTGAAGCTTATTTTTTTTTTTTCCTTTTAATTGTGCTTTGGGTGAAAGCTTACACAGTAAATTCGTTTTCCGTTAACAATTCATACATATTCGATTCATTACGTTGATTGCAATCCCCACAGGGTAACAGCACTGTCCCCACTTCCTCCCAGAGTTTACCGTTCCGTCCTTTTTCCTGTCCCTTCCTGCCTCCTAAGCTTTATCCCTGGGCAAATGCTGCCATTTTGACCTTGTGTGGGTGATTGTTCTAAAGGGTGTGTACTTCCGTGACGATACTGTTCACCTGATAGGCCTATCATTTGCCTGCAAGCTGAGCCAAGGGGGTGAGTTCAGTTGAATGATGCTTTATTTTAATTGATTCTGCCAAGTTGCTTTCCTAATTAGAGATAACAAAAGAGGACTTCTTAAATGTTGACATTTAAGTTCATTAATGTAAAAACAGGTGACAATGACTACTAAATGTTTTTAAAGATGAGTCAGTGTTTCTTAGTGTTGTCAAGTGAATCAGCTTGTTAATCTAATAATTTAGTAATTTGTATATTTTTGCTTTATTTTCTGGGATTTTAGGGCCCAACTGGTGTTCCTGGGTTTCCTGGTTTGGATGGCATATCTGTAGGTACCCCTGCATTTTTTTTCATTTTTTAAAAAAGAAAGAAGAAACATTTATCAAAACTCACAAGGCCACATGTTCAAACGTAAAGTGGAACTGTCCTTTTCTTTTCTCGTCTTAGTGCAGGAAGTGTATGTGTATCCTGTTTTGTACAGTAACCTTGAGAGCCAGAACTCTTTACTTGAAGAGAAAGATTTCGAACAGGTTAAATGAAACATTCCAAAATGTTAGCTCGTTACACTTGTCACATCAGATCCAATGTTCTGGAAAGAAATCTGTACTCAGAATGAAAGTTCTTGTTTAGTGAGGAGTCCTGAAATTGGAAGTGGATTGAAGATTCTCATTTCTAGTATAAAAAATCAAATGAAAGAAGGAAGAGTTATTTGAAGGGATTTACAATTGAATCTGTATAAGTATTTCAAAGGAAATTGCCCCCAAACCTTTCAAACTAAATTAATTAAAATTTGGAAGTACTGAATTTTTTGAACTATGCTCATAGTACTTGTAGGTGAGGAAGGAAGTTTTGTAGAAATCAACACGTGAACACGTGAGTCATTGTTGCCATCACTGGGGTACCCATACTGTGTAATCTCTGAGTCATAATAGTCTTGCAAAAATGGTTCCTTTCTAATTCTGTTTTCTGTCTGTAGGGATACCCAGGACTTCCAGGATCCAGAGGCAAACCTGGCGTGAATGGCTACAATGGCTCAAGAGGTGATCCAGGGCTTCCGGGAGAAAACGGAGCTCCTGGCCCAGTAGGGCCCCCAGTAAGACATTCGTGTCTCATCCTGATGGGAATCTTGACTGCAGAAGTCCTGCAGTGGGAACAGGCTTGGTGTGCTTGGAGATACAGAGTCAATGCAAGTGTGCCTAGAGCAGGGAAGAAAAACAGGGGTGGCCAGGAGGTGAAGGCAAAGAAGTGGCCAGGACCTAGAACACATGGGCACTATGGTTGGAGACTGAGTGTCATCTTCCATGCCATTCTGAATAGCTCTAAGGAAGGATGCGACAGGATCTGATTGATGTTTCAGTAAGATGCCCCTGATGCTGGGAGACAATGGATGGGAGGGGAGGGGGAGCCAGGAGGACAGTTAGCAAAACTTAAGTTCTTTGTCAGTCAGGGTTCAGAGGAGACATGTGAACCCAACTAGGTATTTCAAGCAGAAAGGAATTGAATACAGGGAATTTGATACTTACTGTAATGGTTGGAAGGAACTCTGGTGGTGTGGTGTGTAAGGCATTTCGCTGCTAACCAGAAGGTTAGTGGTTCAAACCCACCAGCCACTCCATGGGAGGAAGATGAGGCAATCTACTTCTGTAAAGATTTACAGCCTTGGAAACCCAATGGGGGTTGCTGTGAGTTGGAATCAACTCGATAGCAGTGGACGGGTTTGGAATGGTTGGAGGGGTGGAACTCGGAGCCCACCACACTGATTTCCAAATTGAATACTTAGCTGAGATCTCTACAGAAGGAAATGGCTCCTGCATTATAAACTGACACTGCCTGTCACCCCTGCATCTAGACACAAACACTTGTGCTTCTACCTTCCTGTTTGGCAGCAACAACAGTTCCAAGGAAAGGACATTTTCCTCATTTCTGCCTTCCGTGTC